TGCAAATCTGAATAAGATTCAGAGTTTAGATAAGAGGGATGTGGTAATGCTAAGCTCCTGACTGTGGTAAATGTACCACAGTTATAGAGAATGCCCTTATTTCTAAACTGATCAAGAAACACCGCATCTTACAATGTTCAGCAAATACGCATACAGTGGCTGAGAGGGACAGAGGCTGTAGAAAGAGGGTAAACAAGGAGAAACTGCTGACATTTGAAATACAGGAGAAAACTATAATTCTTTGCATTTTTTTGCAATTTCTCAGCCTGAATTATTTAAAACAAACAAGCTCAATTCACACTCAAAGATGTTGGGGCTTTTTCTGAAAAAAAGCAGTGGCAGAAAAACAATAGACATGTTCTCCAAGTTTAATGGTGACTAATTAACCATACTTCTGAGAGGCTGTTCAATTATGACATCTCCCAAATAAACTAAAAGCCCCTAAAATACTTTCAGTGCCTTCACCAGTGAAATGGGCTGTCAGCACTCCACGCCCACATGTCAGTAGTGGACAGCCAGATACCAGAGGGTCCCAAACGCTGAACCCACCCAGCCTTCACCCCTCAACTCCCCTCTGGTCTGTGTCCAGCTCACATCAGTACAGCCAAGGGAGGGTCTGGCCCACAAAGCACTGCTGCAGCCAAAGGCAGCCACTTTGTGCCTTGGCTACTTTCAAGATAGTCTTGCTTTATGCCCAGGTTGGCCTGGGCTGCATTCCCACTTGTGCTTCGCCATGTCACTAGGGACGGCAGACAGGTGCCACCGTGCCCAGCCACGTGCTTCCCCAGGAGCTGGGATAAAGGCAAAGGCGTGCACCACGGGAGGGAGTCTTTCAGACTCTGACGGCTGGGCTGGCCTTCAACTACGAAGAAGCCAGGACTCCAGGCTTGAGCCACTCCCCGTGGCAAGCCTGTCTTTATTACTCGGTACAGGACCTGGCCTCAAGCTTGCACCAGCCCGCCCTTCTACACCACTCACCTTCTACACATTATCTCTATTCTGAACGGAACTCCTGAGAGAAGGGCCGGGGCAATTTTCGCACACACATTCCATTCCACCTACCATCTTTCCCAATGATGTAAAACCAGATCCCTTTCCACTTCAGTACTCAACTTTATTCTTTCCTAACTCATCATGGGGAGCAGTCCCACGCTCTTCCCTGTCCCAGCCTGAGGCTGGTCTATGCAAGGGAGCCTAGCAAAGGCAAGGCCCACGGAGGGACGGCAGAGCAGCTGTCCCATGCACAGCCCCTCTGCCCTGAGGGGCTCCCACAGACAGGAACTCCAGGTGAGATCCAAAGCAAACTGTAGCTCTGGGACTCCCAACATTGCTATTTCCCAAACTCCACCCCATAAGCCAAAGGAACACTCCAGAATACTTTAGAACACTTCTGTTGAACAATTCTTTAGGACTTTTTGACCATAAAAAATCTTTATTTACCACAGGTATGAGAACTTTAAAGTTTTCAATCTGAGACATTGTTGTTAAGATCTTTAATATGTGATCTCCTGCAGTTATCTTTTCTTCTGAAACTAAATGTTTTGGGTTTTTTTTTCCAGATTTAAGTGGCTGAAGTAGTACTTTTAAGTAAGATGGGTATTTTGAAGTCTGCTTTGAATTGCCTGAATGGTCGCGTAATTTACGAGTCATATGCCTAAAGCTTACAGGATTTAGATCCTAGGGGTGACACTTCTGACTCTGTGAGAGGGTTGTCACTAAGCTGACTGCAAATGCACCTGGCACAGAGCCTCCTCTTCATCACCTGATCACCACACTCCACAGGAAGTGGCTGGCAGCTCATTTCTTTCTTTATTTTGGGTCCGGTCATGGGGCCTGAACTCTGGGCCTGGGCGCTGTCCCTCAGCTCTTCAGCTCAAGGCTAGCGCTCTACCACTTAAGCCACAGCGCCACTTCCAGCTTTTTTCTTTTTGCTTATGTGGTGCTGAGGAATCGAACCCAGGGCCTCAGGCATGGAAGGCAAGCGCTCTACTACTGAGCTACCTTCATCATTTCTGCAGCATTAGAAGTCGCTACATCCATGCCTGTCACCTGGCCTGCAGACATGTTCAGGCAACACCTGCACCAGAGTGGACCTCCCTCAGCTGTGATTAAACAGCATTACTGCAGCACCAGAAGACCTGATGTGGCTCTGATACCATTTCTGCTCATGTTAGCCTACAGAGAGCTCCCAATGGGTTTTCCCACTGAGAACTATGATTCTTTGGGATTCATAAATATTCTGGGGAAGATATTTTGGAATTATGTAAATATCAGAGATTAAAGGATATGACTTAAATGCAATGTGAGATTCTCAAACATATAAAGGACATTAGTGCCAGGCACTGGTGGCTCACACCTAAAATCCTACTCAGGAGGCTGAGATCTGAGGATCAAGATTTGAAGCAGGTCAAGCAGAAAAGTCCGTGAGACTTCTCTCTCCAATTAACTAGCATATAGCCAAAGTGGAGCTATGGCTCAAATGGTAGAATGCTAGCTTTGAACCAAAAATGCTTGGGAAAAACACCCAGGACCTGAATTCAAGCCCCAGGACCAGTACCCCCACCCACACCCCCAAAAGGAATGAAATACTGATTTGAATAGGATCTATAATTTAGTTGGCAGGGCTGTGCTGTGATTAGGTGAAGATTTTATTACCTATGAACACTAGAGAGGCCAGGGAAGGAAATAGGGAAACTCATTAAATATTTCTGCAACTTTTCTGGAAAGATCAAATTTACTTGTGAACTAAGTTTACTAAGTGGCAGGGTGATTTTTATAAACCGAGCAGACTTGATAGCAAGGGTCAGGGCAGGGGACTGCTGGAGAGGAGTCAGCTAGCACGCCTCTAGCATGCTCACTGAGCACAACTTGCGAGTGACTGTCTGCTTGAGAACATCATCTGTCTGCAGGCACACAGTGGTGTGGTAGTGGGCTGGTAGTGTAGCGCATACAGCAAGAAGCCACTTGAAGTCTGAAATCAAGTGTCTGCTGCAACATGTGGCTGACCAGCCTTCCCTTGTAAGCCTAGTGCCCTGCCAAGGCTGCAGAGCAGACGCAAGCAGCCAGCTCAAGGTGGACACGGCCTGGTGACCTGGCACCCAGCCTGTCCCTCAGCAGACACAAGACCACAGGGAGAAAGACTGGTGGCAGGAAGAGAACAGCTCTGGAATTCCTGCTCAAGGTGAGTGGCCATAAAGTGATGCCCACTTGTCCCACTAAAATGAATTCTCGTGGAGTGAGGCAAACCCACAATAAAGAGAACACAGACACAGACAAGAGTCTTCACGAATAGATGATGGAAAGGATCCAATCCAGGCAAAGGAAAAGCAGCCTGGGTAGAGCACACAAAGTAGGACACTGAGTCTGAGAACCCTAACCCTCTGCAGACTAGGACCCTCAGCAGCAGACCAATCTCCATAGCCCAACAAAGCAGAACAGCTCCCAGACCAAAAGGCCTCCTTAAAGAGGAACAGCCCAGAGAATGTCTCTGCTGCTCCAGGTGCAAAGCACACACTCCCAATCATCAGAGGGAAAGCCATTTCCAGGACCAGTCCAGATTCCCAAGCTACCAGCTTTCACTTGCTCTAAGGATAATAATTACCAGTACTGGAGGCAGTCCTAATATGCAAAGCAAGAAGCCAACATTTACCAAAGAAAAGTACTATGTACTAGAGTAAAGAAGAAATCAGAAGAGGATTGAAAAGAACCCTTACTTCCACAGCCTGGAGGTGATAATGCACTATGACAAAGGCAGAAATTGGGAGCTTCAGGGCCAGGGCTGACAGTAAAAGCTGTAATCCCAACCAAATACTCAGAAGCATGTAGGTGGGAGAATGGGCAGTCAGGTAGGAGATGGCAGTCAAGAAGAGGGGGCGGGGGGGGGGGGGACGGGGAGGAGGGGAGAGAGGGAGGCGTCCCCACAGCACCCCATCCAAGAAATAACTAAAGCAAAAGGTCTGGTGTAGTGGCTCAAGTAGTAGAGCAACTTCCTAGCAAGCACAAAACTCTGACTTCAAACCTCAGTAAAGAAGAATTAGAAGTGTGACTGGAAATTAAAAAATAAGGCTGAACCCCTTTCCCAGAACAGGGAGTCTGAAAGGGGACAAGAAGGATAAAGACAAGAGACCCGAGGGGTGGATCCACGCGTGTCCTGGGAGACAAAGCCAGAGCAATCGGTTCTCCAGTGCTCCAAGGAAAGCCCAGCCTCGGCCCCGGCCGGGCTCCCATCGGGAGCGAGACCCCGGGGACGGCCGGCGGCCGGGCCCGCAGGGGAGCGGGCGGAGCGGGCACGGACGCCGCCCCGGCCCGCAGCACCGGGGGAAGCGCGCAGCAGCGGGAAAAGAAGAGGCCTTGGCCAACTGCGGGGAAAACAAAAGCTGCCGGGCGGGGGGCGCCGCGGGCGGGGAGGGCGCTCCCCGCAGCCCGAACGCCGACGGGAGCGGCCGCGGGGCGCGGAGCCGGGGGCGCGGAGCCGGGGGCGGGCGCGGAGCCGGGGGCGCGGAGCCGGGGGCGGGCGCGGAGCCGGGGGGCGCGGAGCCGGGGGCGGGCGCGGAGCCGGGGGCGGGCGCGCAGGCCCGGGGAGGCCGGGCCGCGGAGGCCGGGCCGGGGAGCCCGGGAGGGCTGCGGGCTGCGGGCGCGCACGCGGGGCCGCAGTGACACCGGCCACCGCACACCGTCCTCGTTGCTCCCGCAGGTCCGGGCTGCCGCGCCCGGGGCGGCCGAGGCCGCGCGGCGGGCAGGGCGCGGGTCCGGCGCCCCCTCCGGGCGGGCGGGAGCGGGGGGCGGCGGCCCCGGCCCGGCCCGGCCCGGCCCCGCGGCGCGCTCGGCCCCCGCCCCGCCCCGGCCCGGCCCAGCGCGCCCCGGCCGGCGTGAGGGCCGAAGCCGTTGGCGGCGGTTGGCGGGCGGCGGGGCGGGGCGGGGGCCGACGGAGATCTCGCTCTCGCTCTCGCCCCGCGGGAAGGGGGAGTGGAGGCGCGACCGGCTGCGGGAGCTGCAATTACCGTGTGGGCTGCGGAATTCTCGTGGTGTTTGTCGGGGAGATGCGATAATGGCGTCCGTCCTCGCGAGAGAAGCCGCCGCTCTGCGCAGGCGCCGCCGGCGCCTCCCCGCGGCCCGCGGCCCGCCCACTGCGCAGCCTCGCTGGGCTCCGGCCGCGGGGCGGGGCCAAGGGGAGGAGGCGGGGCTTGTGCACCGCCCCCCCCACCACGCGCGCACCTCCTCCGGCCGGTTCAGGCGAGCATGCGCAAGCGTCGTGCCCTCCGGCCGAGGGTTGTCTCCCCGGGGTGCCCTTTCCTGGGCCGTGCGCTCACGCCGCCTGCCGACATAGAGAAAGTCTTCTCTACGGGCCATCTGAGGCTCGTACACCCTCTCTGAGGGGTCGGCGTTCAAGCGACGACTACACTTCCCAGGGTGCCCTGGGCGCTCAGCGCGGTGCCTTCTGGGAGCCGTAGTCCCGGGGGAGGTGTCTGTGGTGTGCCTGCCGGGATTTGTAGTCGGTTCAGACTCGGGCTTTCGCGCCCCGTCCCCGCCCCGAGGGCTGCTGGGACTTGTAGTGCCGCAGACGCTGGTGGGCTGCGCGTCCCCCGGCCAGTCCCACGCGCCTGGCCTGCCGTCGGGCTTGGGGCTCCGGAGCCTCGGGGTGGCGCGAACCTTAAAGGGACTCGTAACGGCCCGGGACGCTTATCTGCCCCGGGCGGATGTCGGCCACCAGCGTGTGCCGGAGGAAGGCCTCGTGGAGGTGGGACGCGCCGCCGTGCAGCCGCCCCGCGCCGCCCGCCCCGGGGCTGCGCGACCCCGGCCGGCCTCCCCGCGGGGGCCCGGCGGGCCCGGGGGAGCGGGGGAGCGGCGCGGCGCCCGCCGGGCCTTCCCGGACCGAGCCCCCGCCGAGCCCCGCGCGCCGGAGGCCCGCCCCGCCCCGAGACAGGGAAGCCTCTCGGCGGGGCTCGAGGCTGGGAAGAGGGAAGCCAGGGTTTGGGTCCCGGGTGAATGCTTGCAATCGCACATTGCCTTGCGCACCAACTGGATGCTTTCTATACCAGAATAGTCACCGAGGGCAACGTCCAGCCCCGTTCCTCCTCCCAGCGCCTCGCTGTGGCCCATCCACATACGCCCTCCTACTCAAGCTTGTCCTGCCGACCGCTGGCCCTGGGGCTGCTGGGTGCAGCCTGCCCGTCCGCCCGGAGGGGTGGTGGGGAGCAGGGCACACTGGGCTGTGCAGGTACGCCTCAGCCACCCGCTGTCAGTCACAGCTGGAACTGGACTGCGGATGGCCACCCATCAACACAGCAGCCCCTGGAGCTCACAGAAGATAACAGCTCTAGCCCGACCCCAGCAGCCCCACCGCTCCCCAGGCCGTGGGAGGTGTTGATGACACACAGCCCAGGCTCTTAGAGTTAGTGACACACGACCTGGTGTGTCTGCACACTGCAGACCCAGCAAAAGCTTCCGGTACCAGGACCTGCAATGAGTTGTTCCATCTTGTTCCATCGGTCTGTCCAGTCTCCCGCTGGCAAATAGGCCTTCCTTTGCTTTGCTAAACCTCCCGGGCCCTCACACAGCAGCACTCATGCTGGGCTGCCACTGGCTCTCTTGGCAGTGCCTAAACTAATAACCCCACTTCTTCTACTTGCTCCTCTTGGTAAACCTTGCAACCAACCCATGCACCAAAATTCCTGACATGTTGGGCCCCCTAAGTAATGAAATCTTGATGTGTACTCTTCTTCTCATTATGAGTTATGAGCCCCAACATCATGATCCTAATTATAATAAAATCCAAACCATTTGAATCTAAACAGAGCTGGGCACAGGGAAAGATTCACCGTGTCTGGGGTTGGAGCAGATGCATGGTCCAGCCACGGTTCTCACACCCCAGCTTCCTCAGATTTCAGGCATGGGTCACTAGGACCCGGCTTGGCTTGTAGGTTTCTGTGATTGTGAGTGGTGAGGTGAGCAGTCTCTGTGTGTACCCATGTCTCCACTCTGGGGAAGTTGGTAGGGACCCCAGCTGACTTGTGCTCTGTCCCCATCCCTCTGAGAGAGTTGGTGAGGAGGGCTGGAGTTGCAGATCTAAGATTCTACAATCTAATAGTCAGCCTGGCCCTCTGGGCAAGAGACAGAAAGCTTAAACTAAGAACCACCGCAAGGATAACGCTGCCCTGTCTTCATGGGGTCTGTCACCCAAGAAAAGACACTGGGATGAGCCGCTGCCCAGGCCAGAGAGGGCTTCCTGTGACCTGATGTCCACAAGGACAAAGATCTCAGGTGGGACCGCCAGAATGACCACATAGCACATTGTCTAAACAACACAGACCCTTGTGCAGGAAAGGGACATGATTAATGTTTATGCAGAGGCCGTGGTGTAATCCGGGAATGTCACAATGACCCAAGAGGCCTGTACCCAGTGAAGGCCACAGGTCCCACATGCTTCCCTGCTGCCAAACCAAACGGTGTCTCACACCTGGGACAGGCCAGGGTTGAAATTTAACTACCAGGTTCAGGGGTTTCAGAAAGATGGGTATACCCCAGACCACAGCTATCCTGGGCACAACCAGACAGCGGAACAGTAGCCCTCTTGGTGACCAAGATGCTCAGGGCCATGGTGCTGGGGAGGGTCGCCTGCCGGCCCCCCAGGACCCTCTCCCTGGTCAGGAAGATGTGGGAGTCTCCCCGAAGTCCTGCCACAGGGCAGGGGCAATGGAGTCCCCAGCACTACTGCACACTGGGAGACAGAAGTAGTACTTGTAAGTAGGCCCCCAAATTCCTCCCGATGTGATTCCAGGCTTGGACGGTTCTCAGGACCTTTTGGGATGAGAGACGGTTGCCGGTCAGCTGCTTGGGTTCTGAATTTTGGCCCATCTCTGGTGGCCCTGAGCAAGTCATTTAACACCGCTCACAGTCACCATGGTTAGGTTTTCAGGGGCAGCGAGCAGTACGCACACCGCCACCTTGGGCCAGGCCTTCCTCTTCCTGACCTCAGCGCTTCCCCTGTAGATGAGGGTGGGCGTTGCATGCATGGCTGCTGGGTTCTGTTCTAACTGGGCACCCTAATTACTTCCTGGGCTTTCGCGGTTGGAAAGGCCCAGACAGACACCCACTGTCTATGGACACTAATAACACTGGAGAGAGAGAAGAGTTGGGCCAAACTGCCCTTCTGCCCAGCCTGTCCTGGTCTTGGTGCTCTGTGTCTTGTTTTCTTTCCTGAGGTATCAACACCTTTCTCCCCCTGTGCTCATTGACCCTTAGGATGGTCAAGGCCACAAGACTTCAGTTGGAATCTTGACCTCCTCACTTTGTAACTGTGTGTCCATTAGAAGGTGTCTTAACTTCTTTGACCCTGGTTCCATCATCTGTGCAAGGTGATTCATAGCAGTACTTACCATGTAGCATTTATTGGAGAATGACATGAGGTGATTGCTTTACCAGCAGCTGTCTGGGAACTTTCACTCTATCCAGATAGGAACTGTGGGTAGATGAGAAGTTAGCAGTCCTGGGCCCTTGAGTTCCCAAGGCCTGGGGGCCAGCAGCTCTGGGCTGCAGCCACCAGCAGCTCTAGAAAGGCTCTTGTGACCTTCCAGAGGTGCCTGCTGGGTTACAGCTTCTGAATGGCCCTGGGTTAGGGCAGCTTTGATAGTCCCCAGAGGCACGGCTTTTGCCCCTAGAGCATTGGGGTCCTCAGGCTGGGACAGTGGCTGGGGTCACCACCCTCAGGACCCTTCGGCTGGGCAGCACCAACACTCTGCCCGTGACCGGGACCTGTCCCCGTTGCTAGACGGTCCCTAGCAAGCACCAGCTGTTACTTGACCCTGGGCGGCCACACTGAGGGTCCAGCCTTTCCTTACGCATCACCCGGCTGGTGACATCCGGTGGCAGCCAGTCTTTAGCTAGCATACTCCACACTGGGACCGGACTGGCACCGTGGCCAGGCATTTCCAGTCTCACCATGAGCCTAGTGCATTCTGCCAAGCAGGAAAGACTTTATCCAAGTTATTCATTGCTGTCTTCTGGTGTTTTATTCATTGTCATTCTGCACACTTTCATTTAGAGGAAAGAAGTTTGCTACTAACAATGGAAAGCACGGGGGTGTGGCTTTGGGAGGAAGGAATGCTCGGATTGGTTTGATCAATGGAAAGCGCTGGGGGTGTGGCTTTGGGAGGATGGAATGCTCTGATTGGGGGAGGATGGAATGCTCAGATTGGTTTGATCAATTGAAAGCGCTGGGGGTGTGGCTTTGGGAGGATAGAATGCTCGGATTGGTTTGATCAATGGAAAGCGCTGGGGTGTGGCTTTGGGAGGATGGAATGCTCGGATTGGTTTGATCAATGGAAAGCACGGGGGTGTGGCTTTGGGATTGGTTGATGACCGTCTCTGTAGGAGCACAGTGAGTGGGAGAGCCCTTTAACCCACGCACTCCCCAGTCCCACCTGTGGTGGGTGAGCCCCATCCCAGAGGGAACACCTACACCATGGGAATGGAGACACAATAAACCCTTCCATTGCCTGGGAGAGCCGATTATTAAATCCTGGCTGGACCCCAGCTGCACATTCCTGACCATTGTTGTAACAGGTACTTGATGCTCAGTCCTGTGTGGACCTTCTGAGTCTGGCTCTGCCCAGGCTGGGCGTGGCTGGACCAGGCTCTGGGCTGTGGGTGGGTCCAGATCTCCTCCTTGACCAGCAGCCCTCTGCACTGCAGTCTCCTCACCAAGCAAACACATTCCAAGCCCCTGTTATCAGGATCAAGCCTCTGATCAGCAGGAAGCAGCTGGAAGCCAGAGGCCCAGGGACAGTGGGGTGGGGATTGCTTCCCCAGGGGTGAAGGGAGGGAGTGGATCAGTATTCTTGATCCTGGAGTCCCCAGAGGGGGAACAACGTGTGTAAGGAGAGGGGTTCTCCCTCATCTCAGCAGGCACCGGTGGCTCGCGCCTGTCATCCTAACTACTCAGGAGGCTGAGATCTGAGGATCGCTGTTCAGAGCCAGCCTGGGCAGAAAAAGCCAGAAGTGGCACTGTGGTTCAAGTGGCATTGCGCTAGCCTTGAGCACAGAGGCCGGGGACAGAGCCCAGGCCCTGAGCTCAAGCTCCAGAACAGGCAAAAAAAATAAATAATACCAGGGTCAGGGATGCCTGCAGCTCCTGGCCACTGCCCCTTAGCAAGCGCTCTGCAGCACGTGTTAAATAATGGTGAGAGAGGATCCTGTTTTATTTTCAGGACTTCCTCCTGGAACTCGCTTTGTTGGCACAGCCTACAATAGTAGCTGTTTGCGGTGGGTACAGTAGTCAGGTGGCGTCTCCTCCCCTGCCCAGAGCAGTGGGCAGCAGCCTCTCTCAGGGTGGCATACACCAGCTCCGCACAGATGTCTCCCTGTTGGTGGTCTCATTTATTATCATCACAGCAGACAGAATCCTAAAATACCCACATTTCTGAGTCTGGGAGACTTGTGCTTCCACGTTGAACAGGGGCCTCTTAGGGGGTCTGGTGCCTCACCCCTCTACCCCCCAGGTTTGGTCTAAATTAAGGTTGGTACAGCTGTGTTAAATTCTCCCCGTGCGCCTGGCTGCTGTCATCTGGATGTGTGCCGCCCCACGGCGCAGAGCACAGGACGGGGAGGAGCAGCACCGCGTGGCTGGGGGGACAGACAGAGCGACTGAGCCTTCCAGGGCTCCGGGCAGCTCCCCAAGCCTTGTCACCCTTCCGGAGAGGGAACAGGCCTGGGCAGGCAGGGCGGGATGTAAACCCTTCAGAGCCAGCCGCCTCCCAGCACAAACTCAGCCCTCAGCTCCTCCTCACCCTGCAGCACCTCTGCAGGGCCAGGCACCCTGCCCAGCGCCGAGGAGTCCGCAGGCCGGGTCCTAGTGCTCTGTCTCGATGGAGATTGTGAGTAGGTGAAGAGAAGCTCTTCCAGGGCTGGCAGCCCTGGCTGTGACTTCCCCAGGCCTGGGGCTGGACTCACAAGCCTTGCGAGCTAGGGGTCTGTGCTGCAAGAGTCAGAAGCCAGAGCCCTGGCCCCAGGCCCTCGGGGTGGAGACTCACTGTGCTGGGGTTTAGTTGCCTCTCCCCCACACACCCATGGGAGTCTTGCAATGCCTGCTCTCCAGCAGGAGCAGCAACCGTACATACTAACATCACAGCTGTCAAGTCAAGGGCCCAGTAGAAGGAGCACCCATGGTCCAGAACATTCAGTACGGGGCATGCACCAAGGGGAGGCATAGCGCACAGGGATGAAGCAGCAGGGGGGGGGGCAGGGCTCCCCACTGGGCCTACTTCCCCCAAGCCCAGTGCTTCAGGGCCTCTGTCCCGCCCCAGCCACCTCCGGCCAGTGCCTCAGCCCCAGTCTCCCCTGTTCCCAGGGCACCCTTTCTGGACAGGACCAGCCCCTGTGCCTGGAGGCACCCGGCAGTCTCCTGTCAACATCCAGTCGAGAGACGCGTTGTACGACCCACAGCTGGAGCCGCTCAGCATCTCCTACCACCCTGCATCCTGCCGCTATGTCTGGAACACCGGCTACTTCTTCCAGGTGGAGTTCGACGATGCTGCCGCCGCCGCAGGAAGGTCAGGTGAGCAGAGCCGGCCTTTGAGGTCCTCTACTTCACCTCGGCACAGCCCTCCCCAAGCCACCTGCCGGCCGGGAGCAGGTGAGGCACACGCGTGGGCACGGTCACACGGGAAGCCACAAGGATAAAGGCCCTTCCCTCCTCTGCTTCCATCCCAGGGAAGGATGAAGATGAGTTGATAAAAGCTGTGAGTGAGTAAGGCCAGGTGCCAGTGGCTCATACCTGTCATCCTTGCTAGTCAGGAGGCTGAGGTCTGAGGATCCCGGTTCAAAGGCAACCTGGGCAGGAAAGTCCATGAGACTCATCTCCAGCCAATTACCAAAAAGCCTAAGTGTAGCTGTGGCTCAAGTAGTAGAGCGCTAGCCTTGAGCACAAAAGCTTAGGGACTGTGCTCAGGTTGCCAGGATCTGTATGTACACGCGCGCGTGTACACCTGTGCACGTGCGCACACACACACACACACACACTCAGCTGTGAGTGTTGAAATGAGGCCAGTGTCTGGGTCTGGGCAGAGGGACAGCAGTCCTGACTTCAGTGTGTGCGGGCACAGTGCGCTCCAGCAGGAGAGAGGACTCGTGCGGTCACCCTGGGCCGGTGCAGGCCGCTCTGGCACCGCCCGCCGGTCCTCTCTGATCTCATCTTTACCCCACCAGTGAACAATCCCTGTCCACTCAGGTCCTGCAAAGGGCAGGGCGCCACTGGCTGGGGCGCCAGAAGATGCCAGGGGGAACTGAGGGCCCTCTCCTCCGACTTGCTCCACTTTTTCCCGGTGGAGTCTTGCTCAGCTGGAGGTTCCCTAGTAGAGGCCAGGAATCAGCTTAGCCTCTCAGCAGGTGGACCAAGAAAGAGCCCCTTGCTGGCTGATGTGTGTCCCCACAGTGACCACCGGTCTGGGTGGAGCAGTCCCTGGCCAGCTGGAGGCTGAGCTGCCCTGAAGAGAGAGAAGGGAGTAAATGGACTCCACAGGACCACAGGCCGCTGCTCCCAGGGGCGAGGCAGGGGCTGAGAGCCAGCCGGGGTGCTCTCCTGTGGACACCAGCCTTGTCCGTTGCCCTGGGCCCACCCTGGCCCACCCTAGATTGGTGCTTCAAGGCTTTGCGCTGCTTCCAGGCAGCAGGCGCACCGCTGACCTCATCCTCACCCGACGTGGCTCCCCCGTCCCCATCTGGGTCAAAGGGCGCACCCTACCTCGCCACAGACTGAAAGAGTTAGCGAGTGTCTCTCTTGCCATGTGAATTAGTTGGCTAATCCCCGGTGGCTCACGTCCGTGCAGATCAATCTGGTTTTACTTTCTTCTCTGTTTTCCCAGAAAGCCAGTTCCCCTTTTCCATCTGTCCTACTGGCTTTCACGGCTGCTGCGCCCCTCCCGGCTTGGCCACCCTCCACCCCCGGCTCCTGTTGCCCCTTTCCAGGTTTTCTGTTCTCTTCATTCTCTTCCATTGGAAACTGGGAGCAAAAATCAATTGGAAGACACAGCTGGAAGATGGGGAGGGCCGCACAGGGTTTCAGCCAGAAAATAAGACTAAGGAGACTCTCCCAAATGTTTAAGGAAAAAAAAAAACTGGATAAAGGAAAGGAAGTTAAAGAAGAAAAGGAGGAGGAGGAGAGGGCTCATAAGCAAGTCAGGAAGTGAGCAGAGAAGGTAGGTACGTGGCACGGAAACAATTTTGCATAAAATATGATGCTTTGGGGCTCGGCTACACCAGCAGAGGGGTGCCAGACACTATGAGCAAAGTTGGAGCAAGAGGCCGAGGAGGTTTCCACCGGTCAGCACGAGCGTCCCGGGCTTTTCCAGGAGGGGAGAGCGGCAGGGGAGAGGAATAGTTCCAGGAATGTGAGCCACTGGAGGCCGGGGGAAGAAGGACTGGCCTAGGAGGCGGAGCAGGACAGAGGGAGGAAGAGAGGCAGAGGCCAGCGTGTGGAGAGAAGAGGAAACCGCAACGCAGAGCGGCAGTGACACCCACACGGACGGCGCGCGGGGCCTCCTTCACAGACCTGTCCACGGCGGAGGGCTCCACAGGCTGCAGAGCCCGGGACCGCTGTGTGTCCTGGGTGCTCTGCCCGCTGCCAGTGGCATGAAAAGCCGGCTGACCTCTCTGACCCCTTGTGTCCTCTGCCGTCTTCTGGGCCAGTACTGACCGTGCAGGGTGCTGGAGGAATTGAAGAGGGGCCTGCGTGGGGTGACAGGTGCCCTGCTGGAGGGCGTGTGGTGGGCCTGGGACACCTCTCCTGAGGGGCGCAGGCTGCGTGCTCTTTGTGACGTTTTCCCACCACAGGAGCACAGAGAAGCACAGAAACCGCAGCCGGCCAGGCCCAGCTCCGGCTTTCTCTGACTGGGGGAACGTGGCGCATTTGTGGCGCGTGCTGACCTGCAGGAAACTCGGGGCCCAGTGCAGCACAGTGGCTCACGGGCCTCCAAAGGCCGCTCTGAAGGCCAGCAGTGGGCATGGAGGCCTCATTGGTGCCTACTGCCAGGCTTCCAACGTTAACGCCAGCTTGAAGTAGGGCTCACTAGGGCCTCTGAGCCACCTGCAATGGATCAAGAGGCTCTGTGTCAAGAGGCCCAGCACCCCGGCAGCGGAAGGCCATTTCCCCATCAGCCCCTGCGCAGATACAGGAGTTCAATGAACCTTTGTTCCTAGTGGAGGAGGCACGGCCGGCAGACAGGAGTTTAAAGTTTACAGATTGCTGTCAGGGATCTTTGGTGACAGATCAGAGAAACAGTAAGAACAACATAAAATAGGCACCCAAGAAAAATGTGGGGCCCTCACCTGGACAGATGGCCCGGAGACAGGGCAGGCACACAATAGCAGGGCCTGTTTCTCCAGCCTCCAACCTATGTGCCACCGAGGGAGATTGGAGCCTGGAAGGAAGGAGCCTTCCCAGGGCCCCGCCAGGCGATGGGGTGCCAGGGGAGACGATGATGAGGCTCCAGGAGGTGCGGCCACTCTACAGCGGGACTGAGGGCTAGGCACCCTGAGATTCAACGTGGTGGCACTGCCAGGAGCTCAGGAGCTCAGTCCAGAGCCACCCACTCGTCCTCCCCCCCCCCCCCCCCCCCCCCAGTGAGATGGAGGAGCGCAGCCTGGACTCTTCTATCCACAAAGACACACGGGAGCAATCCTGCACCAAATCCTCACTTCGTGAAGAGTGTGTCAGCAGGTGGCTACACCACGGTGTGAGCACCAAAGTGTTTTCCATCCCAACCAAGGTGCTACCAGGTGGTTTTCTCTTCCAGCCAGGACCATCTCTAGAGTTGACCAGAATTCAGCCCTCCCTCTGGCCTCTCAAGCCGGAGTCCCTTTCCAAGCCCCGCCCCTGACAGGTGCAGAGCCTGCGTAGTCAGTCCCCACGCGGGAACGGGGGTACATGTGTCACCAGCCCTCTGGCGAGGGTCCTTTGGGTCTAATTGGGCAGAAATCACCAGTAGCTAAGGAGTAGCTCCTCCAGTGTTGGCAAACCTGGGGCCTTGAGTGTCAAATACTTAGGGGCTGGGCACACAGGAGCCCGCTGCTCCCTGTCCTGAAAGCTAGAACCACAGTGCCAGGCTTTTGAGGCCAGAGAATTATAGCTGTAAGTGCTCAGGTTACAGGCTGGCCACTCGAGTCTCACTGCTAGTGGCCAGGCATTTGTTAGCAGTGTAGTCCTTTATTAGCGGTGATCCATGCCAGCTAGAGTTTGGAATCAGAGCCAGGGGGGTTGAAGAGTCAAATGGGTGATGGCCTTGCATGATCTTGTATCTGTGGTCTTTTGTGTTGTGTCCTAGGGCTTGAACTCAGGGCCTGTGCCCTGTCCCTAAACATTTTTGCTCAAGGATAGCACTCTAGCTCTTAAGCCACAGCTCCGCTTACAGCTTTTTGGTGGCTAACTGAAGATAAGAGTCTCTTGGACTTTCCTGCCCAACCTGGCTTCAATCCACAATCCTCTGATCTCGGCCTCCTGAGTAGCTAGGATTACAGGAATGAGCCACCAGAGCTTGGTGGGTCCTGTCTTGGAGGAATGGCAGATGTGTCAGACAGCAGCGGATCTCCGCGTTGATGGTCACCGTGACTCAGTAGTCAGTCACAGCGGGCAGGTCCAGGGACTGGCTCAGGAAGCACTTGGTAAATATCGCCATGTTTGATTGGTGCCTTGTTCCCATGAAATATGCATCATTATCCTTGAACAGATGTCAGGTCTGAGACTCAGAGAGAGAAATAACCACTCAAGGCCTCTCTGTGTGAAATCAAGGCTTGCGTTCAGGCGCACCCGCCCTTCAAACCAGAGCCACTATGTGATAGGCACACCGTCTCCTGCAGGAAGCAGAGGGTGCTCCATGGCCCCGAGTTCTGGGCTGGGCTCAAGGGGCCCCAACAGCACAGACGCACACCTTGCTGGACTCTAGCTGTGTCTCCTACTTGCCCGGACAGAGTTACAAAGACCTTCTGGGAAGGGAGAACCCTCTGCCCTGCGCTTCACAGCTTGGACACTGGCTACTTCCGGAGCCACCAGGAACCAGCCAGGAACAGGCTAGACTTTCTACGAGGCCACGTTACTGGCAGTTCCTACCAATGGGAACATCTCCAACTTTTCTTACATTAATTTTAAGCCTTAAAACCTCTGTGCCCACCAAAAGCCCGCTCATCCTGGAGCCAGTGTAGGTGTCTGTTCTGTTCCCCGGGACCTGTTTGAACAGCAGGCACAATATTATCTGAGACCAGACAGCCAGCAGGGGCCCGGCCTTGACTGACAGCTGCTGTTTTATCTGGGGGCTCCGGCTCTGACTGATGCAATTACGCAGTTGTATCTCTGCGAGCGCCACTATCTCGGCCGCACCTGCTCAGCAAGGGGGGATGGATGGGAACACCAGGTGATGGATGGTCACGCCACGCATGACAAACCGCGGTTGACAGTCCCAGGGGACCGGCCAGCGGAAGGCCTCCTCACAACTTGGGCCTGCCTCTTTTTTAATTAGAGGAAGTTACCTTATCACTGTATTATGCAAAAAGTCCATTGAAATTGTTTTATCAGTCTATAAATGACCTTAAAGCCGGTCCGTACTACCATAGCTGAAGGGCCGCAGGATCTTGCAGGCCTGGGCAGGGCTTGGCTCTGAGTGACCCAGAGCAGGTGAATTAACTCCTCTGAGCTCCTGCATGGGCCCGGGGCCCAGGTGAGGAGCAGGTTCCTCGAGATGGGAAGTTCTGCATCCAGTAGCAGGTGAATGCTAGCTTGTCAGTCACTCCTGACATGCGCAGAGAGTTCTCCCTCACAGATAAAGATGTGCACTGCCGGTGGACAGGAGGCGGTATGCCCACGGTGTGGAGACACGGCTGATGGCTAGGTCCTCCGTGAGCTACTGCATCCCATACAGACTGCCCATGGCAAGCTAATGTCTTACTTTCCTTGGCTGACTCCCTATGATCTTGTGTTGTTTTGAGAACTTCACTTACAGCAACCCTATCCCAGGAGAGCTCTCCCTGCTTGACAGGTAGAGAAACCAAGCCTGTCTCTAGACCCAGTCCTGGACACCACACTGTACTGCCTGTGGAGACAGCCACAATACATGACTTTCCACAAAATGTTGTTTTTTGGTTTTGGGTTTTTTTTCAGTCATGGAGCTTGAACCCTGGGCCTAGGTGCTGTCCCTGAGCTCAAGGCGAGCGCTCTACCCCTTGAGCCACAGGCCACTTCTGGTTTTCTGGTGGTTAATTGGATCTGAGGGTCTCACAGACTTTCCTGCCCTGTCTGGCTTCAAACTGTGATCCTCAGATCTCAGTAGCCTGGATGACAGGCGTGAGCCGCCGGCACCTGGCTCAAAATGTAGCTTTGAATAACACACCTGCCGCTTTGCTGGCTGCTGACAGCTCTCACTGTGCGACATCACAGTAGCGTCTTCCATTCCAACTTGACAGGGCTCTTGATGGCCATGGCGGAGCCGGGCTCTGCCATCCAGGCTCCTGGGCAGTGTGTCTCAGGGACTTGGGAATGAGGAAGCTGTGCTTGGACTGAGAATGTGGCTCAGTGGTAGAGTGCTCGCCTGACATGCATGAAGCCTGGTTCGATTCCTCAGTACCACATACACAGAAAAAGCCAAAAGTGGCACTGTGGCTCAAGTGGTAGAGTGCTAGCCTGGAGCAAAAGAAGCTCAGGGACAGTGCCCAGGCCCTGAGTTCAAGCCCCAGGGCTGGCCACAAAAGAAACAGGCAGTGCTTGGCTGGAGCCCTCTGTGCTCCTCCAGCGGAAAGGGGGCTCTGAGCCCTGGCCTGTGTCCACAGACTCACCCTGGAGCTACCCCGGTCCAGTCTGGGTGGCACATGCCCCTCCAGCACCTTCCTGGGCCAGAGGACAGAGGCCCTGCCTGTTCACACAGCCACCCGGAAAGCCCAGCAACACGTCTCTCCCTTGTTTCTGTTTGCATATTCAGCAGCCTTTTGGGGTTTTGTGAGCCCTCTTGGTGTCCCGGGTGTCCGCTACAAAACAAGCAAGTCCTTGTTCATGGCCAGATGCCCTGGTTGGTGTGAGCTGCGGAGGAGTGCTCTGGGGGGGGGGGGGGGGGGGTCGTGGGAAGGCATGCCGCCCTCCATTTCTGCCTCCTGCCAAGAAGAGGGGGGGTAGCAAAGGGCAAAGGTGGCGGGCACGGCACGTCTCAGAACCTGGCCGTGTGGACACCGAGCTGTTACACACGGCATGCAGGCGTGAGGTATAGGACATGCCCTAGATAACCCTGGAAACCCTCTTAGGATTCTCACAGTCTCAGAAGTGCCGGGAGTGGGGTCCTTACCGCCACCTAGCGGCAGCAGGGGTCAGCTCCTGCCTCTATCCCAGCAGTTCCGGGGACCCCCCCCCCACACACACAGGGTCCGGCAGTGTACCCCACATGGTACACTGAGCTAGGCCCGGCAGGGGAGGTGACCAGGACAGACGAGACCCCGCCTTTCCCACAGCCGCCTTATGACTGGGCGCTTCAGAGTGCACCCTCCCTTGGCAGTGATACTGCGCAGCCACACCGCACACAGTGGACAGTGTAGCCAGCTCAGCCCCTCTCCCCCCACCACCACACAAGCGACTGGTCTCCCTGCCCCTCCGCAGGCATCAGCGGGGGACCCTTGGAAAACCACTACAGACTCAAGCAGTTCCACTTCCACTGGGGAGCCGGGAACGAGCGCGGCTCGGAGCACGCGGTGGACGACCACGTGTTCCCGGCAGAGGTTTGCAGACGCCGGGGCGCCGGTGCCCCCCACCCCCCCGCCAGGGTGCCCGGCCCAAAGCCACCGCACAGCACCACCAGACCACTTGCGCACACTGTCCAAAGGGGGCTCTAGAGCCATCTTGGTCCAGGGGTGGCCCTGGGCCAGTTGACCCTGTCCTACCCCCACCCCCGCCCACCCGTCTCCCGTCCCACACCCTCTGAGGTTGCGACGCCACGCTCCAGAGGCCCCTCTTGGGGCCCTGCAGGCCCCGCACCACGTGCGCAGTCGCTCGGGGAGAGTTAAGGCAGAAGGCCCCTTCTACATGAAGCCCCCACGTCTTTACCAAACCACAGCCCAACCGGGGCCTGCGCGCCTGGGAGCCCAGTCCTGCCTGTGGCTTTCTCCTACCCACTCCTCGGAGAGCCGGGAGGAGTGACAGGCCCACACTGGCCGAGGCCAAGGCCAGGTCCAGACTGAGGAAGGGACCCGGTATTAGGAATCACTGTCACTAAACACCTGCCCGTCGCTGAGAACCCTGTGTTCCCTCTGGCAGTCCAGAGTGGTATGACTACCACCCCATGGAACTGCCTGCTGCGGCTCAAGGACCCAGAGCAGTCTTCTTCCTCTCCCGCCTGGACGGCAGAGCTGGTACTGGTGGGGTCCGAGGCCCGTGCCCCTGGAGCACCGCTGCAGGGGCACCTGGGGGCCACGCCGCCACGCTTGGCTCATTGAAATTCCCAGACAGAAATCAGAGTGATAGACGTCCATTCTCTGTACTGTGTTTCAGCTGCATTTAGTTCACTGGAACTGTGTGAAATATGCACATTACAAGGAGGCTGTGGCGGGGGAGAATGGCCTGGCTGTGATCGGTGTGTTTTTAAAGGTAACCGCTTGCTGGGCGTGGCTCTCCTGCAAAGGAACGGTTCTGCGCACCGTCTGCCCAGAGCAAGGTGCACCTTCACCCGGTCCACGGCCTTCCCACGCTAACGCTCCCATGTCTGTGCTGTGCAGCTCGGGGCCCGGCATCAGGCCCTGCAGAAATTGGTGGACATCTTGCCAGAGATAAAACATAAGGTGAGCGACATCTCTAAAACAAGGCCTTGTCTGATGAGCAGAGTTGCTGGGAGCAAAGGCTAACTTGCAAGGACATGCTGTGGTTTAGTAGAATGAACTTTGGAGAAAACATGAAACTCCAGTTCTGGTGACAGAACTCCAAGGGGCCAACTCTGGGAGTGCCCGGACTCCAGGGGTACTGTGAGCTAGGTTTGGGACATGACCTTTCTACCACTTGAGCCACAGGCCACTTCTGGTTTTCTTGTGGTTCATTGGAGATAAGAATCTCTCAGATTTGTCTGCCCAGGCTGGCTTTGAACTTTGATTCTCAGATCTCAGCCTCCTGAGTAGCTGGGATTGCAGGCATAAGCCACAGGCACCCACAGATAACATTTATTTTCAGACAGATTGCTAACATTTGGGAGTTGACCAGTGTACCCCGCACGCCTTTGATGAAGAACTGCATTAAGGTCATCCCTATCCAAGGAGAACATGTTGTCTGGGAAAGCCGCCCTACTGCCCACGGCATGGCCACCACCAGGCTTGGCCTTTCAGCCTTTGATCGCCTTGGGGTCAGCGGGAGGCTCAAAAGGATGGCAAGCGTGACTGTGTGTCTCCCCCCAGGATCAGCCCAGAAGGGCTGTGAAGGAGAACTGGAAGTCCCACAGCCACGGAGTTTATTTATTCACTACCACACAAAAGCGTCCCGCGGTGGGAGGGGTGGCCGTCAGATGTGGGCAGACAATGGTGAGAGCCCCCCAGCGCTTCCTGGCCAGCTCGCGGGCCCTTTGATCTGTGCAACGCGTTCTCTTGATGTTGACCTCCTGGCCGCCCCCCGGGACCGAGAGATCGCCCCCTCTATTCTGTCCTGGGCTCAGGAACACCTCAAGGCCAAGGTGCTCAGTGTCCCTGGGCCGCATCCCCTTCCTCACTGGGCCACAGCCAGAATAAACCTGGGGCCCAGCCGGTCCCCAGCCACCCTGGAGTGAGGCTCACCCGGGTCTGATCCCACTCCTTCCCAGGAAGGCTCTGGAACATCTCCTGCTCCTCCAGCTAACAATTTTCTGAGCAAAGGGGAGCCGTGGCAGGCGGGGAGCGGGGTAAGAAGGGGGAGGAGTAGGAACATAAAAGAAGCATCACTCGGGGTAAGGTCTGGTCCTGACGTTGCTCTCTGGGCCTCCATTTTCCCCGAAGAACAAGTTGGCCTTGGAGGGCTACCCAGGCCAGGACCAGAGGAGACTGGAAGCCCCCAGTCTCCAGTGCCCAGTGAGCCTCCGTCCATCCACCAGCCTAGGACATCAGGACATGCCCACCACAGCATGTGCGTAGGACATCCCCTCGGCCTTCCTGCCCGATCCACGACTCTGACCCACCAGGTCTGAGCTTGTGGCTTTGAGCAAGTGACTCAACCTCCGAGCGCCTCCCGTTCCCCTCTGTGAATCCAGTGCATTAGTGGTAGACATGGGGTCATTCTTCTCAGACAGAACGGGACATAGATGGTCCCCGTCCTCTGGGCCTGGCGCCAGCATGGTACAGGTGGGAGGAGGGCTCACAGACATGCACGTCTGCCCTGCGGCACTGGGCCCCTTGCATGTGATTGATAGAACGCCAGGCCCTGGCCACGGGCGGCACTGGGCCCCTTGCATGTGATAGAACGCCAGGCCCTGGCCACGGGAGAGGCTGCGTGCCTGGTTGGCTCTGAGTCACCGGTGGAAGGCAGCAGGGAAGGACGGTGTCGGGATGGGGTCGAGGTGGGAGCTGGCTCAGGTCAGATGGGTGGGCTGGGCGTCCAGTCCCAGTGCTGGTGCTCCCCCCTGAGGACCTGGCCAGTGATTCTTCAGGAGCTGGTTCACCGCCAACAACCCCCCCCCCCCCCCGCCGTGTGCGGCCGCAGGGAGCGCCTGCCTGGGCCCAGAGCCCCATCCCTCTCCCCACTGTCTCCCCTGCGGCCGGCGGAGGGCTGCCCTGAGTCTGGGCTCTCCCCCGGCACTGGGAGTGAAAGAGTCAATCGGCAGAGCACCCAGGCGCCCCCTCTCCCTGTGGTTACTCCAGCACCGTAGCTCAGGATGGCTGCTTCCCTGTGATGCACAGCGTCCTGGAACCATGTCCCAGGAACTGCCAGGTGCATGCAGTCTCCTTCCATGCCCTGAGCTCCAAGGTCACAAAGCATCATTCTCATGTGCCCACCCAGCACCCACCTGGGCCAAGTGGAGTGCCAAGCCCGGTGGGCACACCTCACAGGGTGAGCCCCCCAGTGCCCACTAGAAGGAAAGCGACCGTATGACCCACAATGCTACACAGGTGTGCTCACCCGAGATCGGAAGCAGCTCCAGCCGGGGCAGTGTCCTCTGTGGTCGCAGCACTATTCATAAGAGCACCCAAGTGCTGAGGGGTGAATACAAATCGCAGGCCTCAGTGGGAGGCCATCAGCCATGGAAAGGAAGGCACAGGGGCGTGGATGGCCCTGTCACCGCCCAGCTCGCGCTTACCATGGCAAAGATGGCCACTGCTACATACACTCTTCTGTCTCAGTAAACCCGGTACCACCTCCACCACCAAGGCAGACAGAGATGGAAGACTTTAGAAGGAAAAATACCAGGTGGGGGTATTGCTCACGTGGTAGAGCACTTGCCTGTGTGAGGCCCCGAGTTCGAGCCCAGCACCACACAGGCAGGTGGGCACACATGTGTGTGCACATGAGGAGGTGGGCTGGTGTCCAGAGGGCTTTTCTTACTTCTGCTTCTCCCTGGGACGGTGGGGGCCACACGCCCGCCCGCCACCAGGAAACACATCTCCGTCCCCGTGAGCCGGAGGCTCTGCCCTCCTCCGTTCCCTTCTCCCCGACTCTGCGCAGCACCCACCGCCCTGCGCTTCTCCCTCACAGGATACCTGGTCAGCCATGGGCCCCTTTGACCCCACGTGCCTGCTGCCCGACTGCCAGGACTACTGGACCTACGCCGGCTCCCTGACCACGCCACCGCTGGCTGAGTCTGTCACCTGGATCATTCAGAAGCAGCCCGTCGAAGTGGCCCCCAGCCAGGTGAGCGAGGCTGCGGGGCTGTGGGGCTGTGGGGTTGCAGTCCTAGGAGGGACCGTCCCAGCAGGACACCACGACGGCACACACAGTTCCCCAGTTCACCATTGGTGCATCTTGAGCGGTCCTGCATCTCCTGGGAGACGCAGTTCTCCTGGGAGAACGCCGCTGGCACAGGGGTCAGGGAGTTGGACCCCTCATTCCCCACCCTTGTGCTGATGTGGAGATGTCAACCGTGGCAGTGGGGGAGACATGCTGGGGAGCCAGCCCAGCATGCACCCTGTGATCGGGGCTCAGGGCCCAGCCTGGCCAGCGCGTCCCAGGCTTGCGGTCAGGCAGTGGGCGGTGGCCCTTGGTTGTGTGGGGATGAGTCGCTGTAAAAGTCCAGAAGGGAGAGCTGAGCACAGCAGCTCGAGCCTGTGATGCTAGCTGCTTGGGAGGCGGAGATTGGAGGATCATGGGTTAAGGCCAGCCAGGGCAAAAAGTTCTCAAGACTCCATCTCATTCTGCGGTTGGGCGGCTGGGTGGCTGGGCGCAGCAGTGCACCGATGTCATCCCAGCTATCGGGGAAGCGTACGCAGGAGGATCACAGCCCAGGGGGACCTGGACAAGATGAGAGGGTCGACCTCAAACAAACCAAGGCCGGTGAGGCTTGGGGACATGGCGTAAGCAGCAGAACATCTGCGTAGCCTGACTTCAGTCCCCATTACTGTCCCCAGAAGGGGGCTCTCTTCCCACCACGACTCGATGGAGCGGCTGGTGAATGTGAGCTGGCTCTTGGCTGGCCTCAGTTTCCCTCCACTCGCATCTCTTTACAGGGCTGCTGGAGTTCAGGGGGCCTTGCTTCCTCCAAAGCAAATGGTCTAAAGACCTGAAAACAGCCAAGCACCGGTGGCTCACGCCTGTCATCCCAGCTACTCAGGAGGCTGAGTTCTGAGGATCGCAGTTCGAAGCCAGCCCGGGCAGGAAAGTCCATGAGACTCTTATCTCCAACCACAAGAAAACCAGAGGTGGGGCTTGGCTCAAGTGGTAGTCCCTTCTGCCCCTCAGAGCCACTGTCACCGTGGGAGGGGAGGGGACAGGGCCTTGGGAGCTGACTTCGGTCCTGGGAGCTGGGTGACCCCGCGCTACCCAGCACCCTGGCTGTTCTCTGTTGTAGCTGTCAGCATTCCGAAAGCTCCTGTTCTCTGCCCAAGGCGAGGAAGAGGAGATGATGGCCAACAACTACCGCCCACTGCAGCCCCTGCTGGACCGGAAGGTCCGTGCGTCCTTCCGGACCCTTGAAGGTGCTGAGGCCGCCAGCTCCGCCCAGGCTGGGAGAACTGACTGAAAGGGAAGCACACTTCCCAGGGGATTCACACAGGACCCATGGATTAAACCGCAAACGCGAATCACCGTGTCGGTCTGTGTCTCGGGCGACCCACGGCAGCTGCAAGGGGACTCTGGGGCATCAAAGCCACCTCGCCCCAGGCCATCCGCTCGGCCTCTGTCCACGCCATTCTCCCCTTCTCCACACAGGGTGTCTTCTGTCTGTCCCCTCCCAGCCCACTCTGGAGTTCCTGGTGACACAGAGACAGGCCAGCACCTGCTCTAGTTCCAGATCCCTTGCGTGCAGCGTCCTGTGTGCCCCGGTTCTCTGCCCTCAGAGGCTCGAGACCCTTGTTCGTTTCCCCAAACCATCCCAGCCCCCTGGTTGACAGCACCGGAGCCCAGCTCCGTTCCTCACCTCTGTCACCTCTTCTGTGACTCACCATCCAACACAGCATGCTCAGTCCCACCTGGCCTCCTAGAATGTCAGCTCCGAGGGACAGAGCCAGTCCACCCCAGGATGGCCTAGGCTGTGTCCACACCAGCAGCAGCAGAGCCTGACACACAGCAGGACCCCAGAAGACATTATGACGTGAAGGAGTCAGGGCGGCCTTGCCCTGAGAGTTCTCTCTCCATCGAAGGGCTGGGTCCTCCTAAAAGACACAGTGGCGTCATGAAGCAAAGGGAAACGGGGCTTAGGCACCATCTGTGCTCTGGGTCGAGTCTGCCTGAGGCTCTACCCAGGCAGTCACAGAAGCCAATAGAACCCTTTCACCTCAGACAGTCTGGGTTTCTTTTCTTTTATTACTTACTTGGGGCAAAAATATTCCAATCAAGCTGGGTACCAGCTTGGTTTTTCAGAAGGCTGAGATCTGAGGGCTGAGCGTGGGCAAGAAAACCTGTGAGACTCTTATCTCCAGTTAACCAGTGGAAAGACAGACGTGGAGGTTTGGCTCAAGTAGGAGAACTTTGACCTTAAGCAAAAAAAAAAAAAAAAAGCTAAGGAACAGCGCGAAGCCCCTAAATTCAAGCCCCAGTCCTGGCATACACACACACACACACACACACACACACACACACACACACACACACAATCAATACTTTCATAGGATGAAAATATTTTCCCTCTCGGTAAAGACAAAGTTCTATAAGCAACCTGATTGTGTTATCTTGGAACATTTCCTTATTGTCAGATAAACAATGAGAAACAGCATAGAAAAATAAGCAAACACACTTGTGTCTCTCAAGGTACCGTGATGAACTGCATTTTTGTGGGAGATAAAGAATAAACACCACTCTGATCCACAAATAGCCTCTAAAATCAAAGCGGGCGGCGAGTTTGCTTTGGCAGGGCCTCGCTTCTCTCCCGTCCCGGAACTGCACGGCGCAGCTGTGGTGTCTGAACTGGCAGAGGCTCCACGCGCTCTTTTCTTCTTCTTTTCTTTCCTGTCAAGTCACTTCACTAGCTTTCTATGGCGGTTGGTTGTATCTGTGGAAATACTTCCCTAAACTACCAAGTCTTTATTTAATTCTTAAAAATTGCATGCGGTGTAATAATGATAAGGTCCCGTAGCAAAAATCTAAAGCGTTTGAGACACAGAGAAAAAAATACAGAAAATGATGATGTTGTTGAGGGTGGTCTGCATGTTCATGTTCATCCTCACAAACGTGTGTGCCGATCACATGGCTCTTCCACCCTCTGGACCAAGGATTTGCCCTCTCCAAGGCCACGTGGCAGGCCCTGCGCCAGGCTCTGCCGGGCTGCACTCTGCCGCAGAGGACCCCCCACAGTGGGGTCTGCGGGCTGCACTCCGCCGCAGAGGTCCACCCTGTGGTGGGGTCTGCGGACTGTGATCCCAGGGGCACCTGAAGGCATCTCAAACCCTGCAGGAGGAACAGAAGCTCATCAGCAGAGGTTACACCGTCCACCAGCAGAGCCGACGGTCTTTCTTTACACACAGGGGCAATTATTTTGAGATAGCTTGAGAACAATTCCCAGATTGTGTTTTCAAAACAGAAGTCTTCCTGAAGCCCTCCAAATAGGATCCTTTAGATCAGAAATTAAAACCGCAGCCTGCCAAGCATGGCCTGGCTCCTGGCTGCTTCCCCTCACCCACCTCTGCTACCTGCCTCCGGCCCCAGCACGTGACCTCTCGGGACTGGGAGGGAGAACAGGGGCTCTCGCAAGGCTCTGCAGCGGGCATGGATGGGAAACCAGCCACAGACGATGGCCAGGCTCCGGAGCGGCGGGCTGTGCTGCGCTGTGGAGGGAGATGGGGCTGGGGTTAGATCCTGGAACCTGAGGCCGGGATGAAGCAGTGTGGAAGCACATGACCCCCCTCTGTGGGCCGTCCACTCCCACAGGGACTTGAGACTGAGAAAGACAGACCAGGTGCCAGCCAGGGAGGCTGCACACCTCTGTGGACTGACACACCCACTGGGGCGGGAAGAGCAGGTGGAGGTGGGGACTCTTTGTTCATCTCTTCATTGATTTGGGGATGTCCCCTGGGCTCTGTGCCTCCTGAATCATGTTCTCATTTGTCCATTATTCCGAAAAACAAGACCTGTTCCCCCTGAGACCTGAGATAGTCCCAGGATGTGGACCAGGCCTGGACACATGGCTACAAGACCACAAAGAAGCCCAAGGAAGAGTTGTTGGTTTCAGCCCTCAAAGCAACAGTGCATGCACATGTGTGTGTGCACGCACGTTCACACACACACACACAGAATAAACAAAAGAAAGAGGCCCCACGCGGGCCTGAATGGGAGGGCGGGCTTCCATGGTGAAGGAAGTCCACCTCACTTTTGTCCTGGAGAATTTCTGGTCCAACTTTTGAAGTTCAAGGCTTTCATGTTATTTCTCGTTTGGTAAGAATACAAATGCGTGAGAACCGCTGCTCATTCCCGGCACACGCGGTGGCTGCCTCCCCTCCCCTCCCCTCCCCCTCCTGTGAATGCCCAGCACACTCACAATAACAGGCAGGAACCAAGTTCTACACACGCCCACCCCCCCCCAGCACCTGTCGGCCCTCTCAAGCAAACACTCTCCGTCCACCCAAGTATTGATTGTATTGCGTAGCCTGGCGTTAGACATCCTGCTAACATGCTTCCATGTAGAAGGTGTTAAACTGGACCAACGCCAGACTCAGGGAGGCCCTGCAGGTCTTGCTCATCTTAGTCATGGTGCTATGGCTTTAGTGGGTCCTGGTGACCAAACCCCAAGTGATGGCCTCTTCCACATCTCCTCCTTCTGCTTGGCTTCCTGTGCCACAGTCTGGCCGGTGTCCCTTGCCATCTGGCTTAGCCTTTCCCCTTCCTCCTGGCCAGCATCTCCTCCTTCCCAAATCCACCTCCTCTGAGTGGGGAAAGATTTCTTGGTTTGCTTGTTGTTTGACGTTGGTTCTTGAGACACAGCATGGACCCTCTATGTTGTTTCCTTCCTGCACCCCGGTCAGCGCTGCCCTGGCTCTCCTGCCGTTGCTTGATCCCCACAGCCATCTGCACACATCGCTGCTGCCCACCCTTGCCCCTCCTCCACCTCCAGAGTCCTCGTCCTGAGCTGGGAACACGGGGCAGGGGAGCAGCGCGCTTTCCCAGGCCCTCTCAGCAGGCCTTGGGAATGACAGTGGTCGGCCTCAGCACGGCACGTTCCAAAGGAAAGAGTTGAACCCTGAGCTATGAAGTCTCAAAGTGAGCCGGGCGCTGGTGGCTCACACCTGTAATCCTAGCTACTCAGGAGGCTGAGAGCTGAGGGTCACGGTTCAAAGCCAGCCTGGGTAGGAAAGTCTATCAGACTTACAGACTTCCGTTTCTGAACTTAGAAGTTCTTTTTAAGAAATGTGAACCTTGCAGATCCTTTTTACTGGATTCTGGAAATCAGAGAGGGCCACTCTACACACACATGCTCCAATGCAAATAGGAACCAAACAGACATCAAACACCAGTGGGGTGAGCCTCCATTCAGAAGGACATGCAGGTGACATAACCTTTTGTTTTATTTCATAACTATGCAACTTCATTCCAATTCACCACCCAACAGCTGTTTATTGAGCAATCAGGGCACCCGGTAAGAGCAGGGCAGAGGCTGCAGGGACCTTCCTGCCTTGCCCCGCTCCCAGCAGCCTTAGCGTTGCCTGGCCATGTGAGTAAGGCTGTGTCTGGCCTTGTCTCCGCGCGGCCTCCTCTGGGTCACTTCTCAGACTGTCCTCTGAGGCTACTGAGTCACGCTACTCCAGGGTGGCCTCATGCTGACCGCTGACGTCCACCGCTCACTGCAGTGGCCACGCCGAGGTCCTGGAAGGGGTCTTCCACGTGCCGGCGGAGCTGCAGCTCCACCCGCAGCAGCGGGCCAGGTCATGGGGTGCACTCTGCCCGGTGAAGAAACCACCCTCTGGCTCATCTCTCATGGCCTTTGGGGTGACCCCCCCGACCCTTTCATGGAAGAGTCAATGTGTCTGACATTTGGGGACGGTTAACCAAGGCTGGAGATGGGCCTTGATGGGCTCTTGACACCCCAGACTTCAGCTGCAGGAGGGAGGGGACCTCCCCAAGAGGGGTGTGTCCACGGCCACTGGCCACGAAGGGCCCAGTGTGTGCCGGACCCAGTGTGGGGGTGGGGGGCGGGGGCGCAGCCAGACAGGTGCATTTCCAGGGCCACTGATGCGAAGGAACACGAGCCCGGCCGCAGACGGCACAGGCAGGCACACTGCTCACCAAGCCGCAGGAAGCATTGTCCACCAGTGTCCATTCCCCCGCAGTCCTCCGTGCACCAGCCCCAGTCCAGAGGGGCCCAGGCACTCGGTGGGTGACCTCTGGCCCTGGAAGATACACTTCGGTAGTGGCGGGGCGGGGCTGGGGTGGGTCCCCATGCTCCATCGGGCTGAGAGCCAAGGTCAGCGGCATCAGAGCCCACCGCCTCTGTGACCTCTCCCCCACCCCACCATCTGCCTCCCGGATCTGGGACTTGCCCTTCCTGACAGCGGGCAGAAACGTGCTCTTCCAAGTGTGGTCTTGGGTGGTGGA